GTAAGTTTGCACGTGACTATAGAGGTAAGAGTAATATTCACTTTACCAATCTGGGTATATGTTACAGGGGATGAGGCAGCGTAAAACTGGAGAATTACTTGACAATCAGAGAGACGTGAAAACAAAGATTAGCAATTTTCTGATAATAGAAAGAAAGTGAAAAGCAGTACAGTTTGCATACTGTAGTTATCATCAGTGATTGGCTGTAGTTAGTAACCTACTACACTCACACACTCATATCCAGTGTGTACAGAGAACCAGGATTGTCACCGTCACCTACACTGAGTACCAGGGTACTGCCAAACAGTGTGAGTGATGGAGGGAAACCACTGTCCTCTGGCATAGCTGGTAGTGGATAGACCTGACCAGATGAAATATCATATACAACACACTTAGCAGAAGTAGTGAAGGGGCAAATAACCATGCAATGGTCAGAAAGTGCGCATGCTGCACTAAACTTCAGCTCAAAACCATCAGGTGGACTGGTGGACACCCACCTACCATCATGGTGTTTGAGAAAACAACCAGAGTGACCACCAACTAAGTACAGTGAATCAGGGAATGGGACAAGTGATGCGCTGCTGCATGGTAGTGGCAATGCAGGTAATACTAGGCTAGTATTGGATGATGAAGAAAACCTCCACTGCTTGCTAGCTAGAGAATAGATACTAACATGATTGTGACGTGTTCCATCAATATCATGGCCACCATATAGAGAAATAGCATCAGCACATAAATGTAGAGTACACCAGGTATGGTTACTGTGCGACGGGACGTCTGTAAGTTTGCTCCACTGACCACCACCACCACCATCACCACCACTGCGGCAGCCATCACCGTTATCTGGTGTGTTGCAGTACTGCAGAATAGAGCGCACCCATGTGTTGGTGCTCTTGGTGTATGTGTTACAGTGCATGTACAGCATACCACCATGGGATGCCAGTGATGGGCCAGCCAGCTTACTGTATTCACTTGGTAGGTCAATACTGTGCCATGTCTGCAAGTCTGAAGTCTCCAGGATCTTGGTGACGTACCCATCATCATGCCACACAGCAACCAGTTTGTCACTGTAGGTGGCAAGCATGGCATGTTTACCATGCTGCTGTCCTTCTGACTTTTTCCACTGCGTGATCAAAGAAAACCACATACCGGATAGCACACAGGCACAAAACAAACATCAACAGACACACACACACACACACGCTCACACACACACACACACACACACACACACACACACACAACAAACACATGCACACACGCAAAAACACACACACACGCACACATACATATGTACACATACAAACCCCAGATAATAAGATACATGAACAGAAATGACTACAAATCTACTGTAATGTACATAAAAGGTGTTCATTGCAGAAGATAGGCAGGGAGGCACAGTCCGTTGGTATTAGACCATGATGTAGAAATGAGAGGTACCCGGTTCAAGTCCTGATTGGAAGCGGAAGGATTTTTCCAGCTGTACTGCGACCCGTAGTGAATTGGGTCACCGGTAGTCTTTGGCAGGTAGTGCCTTTCTGACTATTTTACAGAGGTTGGTGCTAGAGGCCGAGTTTCCAACATTCGTAGGAACTCCACAACCATCAAGGATCACGGTGCAGATGCATCCCCTGAAGGGTCGAGAGGAGAGCACATCACACCCACCATTATAGTGGTCAAAGATGTAGAATCTCATTCCCTGCATCCATGCTTCTCTCGGGGCCAGGCCAGGAGTTCCCAATTAACCATGGTTCTCAGCACGGCTGGAAAAATCCTTTTGTTTCCAAACATGAGTTGCAGCTATTACAGTAAAACCTGGTGTAAGTGACCTCTGGGTTAGCGACCACCTGCTCTTAACCACCGTTTTTACATGCACTGACAGTTCTACACAGACTCTACGGGACCTGCTTTTAAAGACAACCTGGTTCTAAAGACCACCTGGTTTTAAAGACCGCTTTTACATGGATGCAGCTACTGGGGTCGTTCTCGGCACTTGTGCCAGTGGTTATGAGACTTATCCACTCACCCCCACCGTTAGCCGCTGCATCTGCCGCTAGGGTTTACCGGGTGTTAGCGGCCATCGTGAGTTCCCTTCGGGAACGGACACGATAATTTACTCTTTTTTTTTAAAACTTTTGCTTGCAGGGTAGATGTGCAGGGTAGATGTGCAGGGTAGATGTGCAGGGTAGATGTGCAGGGTAGATGTGCAGGGTAGATGTGCAGGGTAGATGTGCAGGGTAGATGTGCAGGGTAGATGTGCAGGGTGGATGTGCAGGGTAGATGTGCAGGGTGGATGTGCAGGGTAGATGTGCAGGGTAGATGTGCAGGGTAGATGTGCAGGGTAGATGTGCAGGGTAGATGTGCAGGGTAGATGTGCAGGGTAGATGTGCAGGGTAGATGTGCAGGGTAGATGTGCAGGGTAGATGTGCAGGGTAGATGTGCAGGGTAGATGTGCAGGGTAGATGTGCAGGGTAGATGTGCAGGGTAGATGTGCAGGGTAGATGTGCAGGGTAGATGTGCAGGGTAGATGTGCAGGGTAGATGTGCAGGGTAGATGTGCAGGGTAGATGTGCAGGGTAGATGTGCAGGGTAGATGTGCAGGGTAGATGTGCAGGGTAGATGTGCAGGGTAGATGTGCAGGGTAGATGTGCAGGGTAGATGTGCAGGGTAGATGTGCAGGGTAGATGTGCAGGGTAGATGTGCAGGGTAGATGTGCAGGGTAGATGTGCAGGGTAGATGTGCAGGGTAGATGTGCAGGGTAGATGTGCAGGGTAGATGTGCAGGGTAGATGTGGTCACTTAAACCAGGTTTTACTATGCTTGTTTCTTCTGTTTCTCACCCATGCTCCTACACCATTCCATTGTTAGCCATAATTAGATACAAAATCCATCGCATGTTCTATGATTTTTGGGGCTAGTTATTGGGGATTACACCTATGGCTGAGTCGGGTAGCATTTTCTTCGGGTATCGGGTTCGGGTAGTTTTCCATGGGTAGCACGGGTACCCAATCGGGTAATGTTTCCATGGTAACACCACAATGCACTCCTTCCCTTACACACTGAGTGCGTTCGATTATGCCCGCGAACCGTCATGAATCGCCCCTGGCTATTCACATCACCCAATGTGAATAGGTTGAATGGATTCCGAATCGATTCCAGAGCTCATGACATGAAATCGAACGGCGAGATTCCATTCAAGAATCGAGTCGCGGGCATAATCGAAAGCACTCATTGGGTAGAAATACGGAGTATTGCCACGATTACATGAATTTGTACACGTTCACTGCATAATATTATGATGTCATCTGCGACTTTGGGTTTTCGGGTACTATCCTGTACCCGTCTACCCGAGGTCTTCACGGGTAGCACCGGTACCCGACTACCCGTGCACACCACTAATTATACCCGGGAAATGTATACATACTATCCAGACTTGTTCCGAAGTGCTTCCAAGTATCTGGTATTGACACCTGTCTAAAATTGCTACCCCTAAGTCTGAACAATAGACTCATCCAACCGTACCTTTCTGCGCTTCTTGATGTTTGCAATCTGTGTTGGGGTTGGCATAGCAGGTAAGACATGATATCCTCTACCAACGGATGAAACAGCTGTGCTTGCAGCTCCTGTGGCCTGTGCCTAAAAGCAGCAGAGAGGCACCATCAAGAGAGAAGGAATCACATAGAAATGAGTTATGAAGCAACTATCCACGACTGTAACACGAAGATACGAAGTCGGAAAGTGCGATAACAGGGCACACAACAGATAGGCTGCTGAGACATTTCACGACCTGGGACCTGGCTCTAACACATGTCCAGTACGCACACCAACAGCCTCAACACACAGAGCGAACGACGCCAAAGTGAAGAAAGAGCGAAAAAAGAGTGCCTCAAATTGTACTTAGACCGCATTGTCATGTTATTAACTGGTCTCGTTAGCGTCCTGTAATGGTCGGCATTCTTTGCTGCCGTGGGTCTTAGCTTGTGTACATTTTCTCTGCGCTCACCTTCCCCTCATTGGTCCTACCATAACCTTGAACCTTCCAAGGTGGAAGGCTGTTGGTTTGCGCACTGGAGGTGTTCTAGGTCTCAGGTCGTTGAATGTCTCAGTAGCCATTGGAATTCTGTACCAAATAACTGTGAGCATGATATGCTAGTAGCAACTTCGGCGATAATTAAGGAGTTAGGATTATGAATGCAGTTTTGTGCTGCCTAGTGCGCTGAGTCTGCACTGTTTGTCTCATGAATCTTGCACTTGCTCCTCAGCATGCGTGTTCTGTGTGATATCAAACATGTATACATGTGATCCATGCAGTTCACCAATACAAGTACTGCGCTTATAACTTTAAACGAGTGTCGGGCTGAACATTTTCATTCAGGATGAACAGTCAATCTGATAAAGATTTCTCGGATAAGAGATTCATACTTGATGTGTGGAGGCAGACATCACTGAAAGGTGGCGGGAGATCGAGGAAACTTGGCCGCTCAATGTTGTCAGTTGTTGTTTTGTCATGGTCTGGTTGTTGGTAATGGCCGTCGTAAACTGCGTATACTGCTGCTCTAGCTCATCACTCCGTGTGGCGAGCGCAGTGATGGATGTAGCTTGCTGTGTTAGCTGCTCAGAGATAGAGTCCAGTCGCCGTACAACAGCTGATGGTACGTTGGAAAGATGAGGCTGTAATGATCACACACAGTGTAGCAAAAACAGCCACAGCACACACACCATACCAACACAACCACAGCACACACACCATACCAACACAGTCACACCACACACACCATACCAACACAACCACACCACACACAACGCACCAGCACAACATGACACCACACAGAGAAAACCAACACGGTTGTCCACATCGGGAAAGTATGAGGTCACGCTAACGCACAGAGGTGGACACCAATGTCAGAGCTGCCACACTTGGAGGGAGAAAAATCTGACGGGGGTCCGGGGGTATCCCCCGGGTGGGGGTATCCCCCGGGTGGGGGGGGGGGGTGCAGGGGGCAGTGGCTCCGCGATGAAATTTTTTAGGAAAATGGCTTGCTGTTGGGGCCCCAGAACACATTTTTAACTGTCCAGCACACGCACTACAACCATGTCAATTATGCAGCAACCGTAGTCTTGTAGCCACGTTCTACAGTAACACTTGCTGCTTTATTCTATTCCAGGCAGATACATCATACACCATACACCAATATTGAAAAAGAAGTCTAAGAAATTGTAGCAACTACAGCTATACCATTAAATATTGGCATAATATTGTGCGTGTAGAAAAAACGGAGGTGGTTGCCACTGCCACTACGTGTACAAATGACCGGCCAACTGGACTAAAAAGCGCTCAAAATAAAATAATCGGTTGTCCCTCTTTGGGAACAAAATCGGTCAGTTTGTCCGGCAGGCGATGAAATATCGGAGCAAGTTGCAGTCCTGATAGCGTTACTTGTAGCTCCTTGGTCCTTTTCCTTTCTATGTGAAGAAGAGGTAGGTGCGACTTCGGCGATAGTAAGGGAAAAGTGTGTCTCATATTGTTAAGTTTCCTTTTAAAACAATAAGTTTCCTGGTTTCCTACCCCCCCCCCCCTCCTCTCTTTCCTACCCTTAGAGTTCTTGCTCTCCTGCTCCCCTCTCCGCCCTTCCACTCCCCATTTTGTTTCCTTTGGTGCACATGTGCAGCTGTGATGCCGAGACCCTTGGTCGGCTGAGCTTCACAGGTCCCACCCACTCCGTCCTGCTGGATATGTACCATTGTGTCGAGTTCTTTTCCTCATTTTAGTTCATCATGCAGTGAGTGTTCAATAGTAAAAAAATAAAAAATAAAATAATGCGATATTTCGGCCATTTTCGACTCCCCCCGGGGTATACAAATTTCAAGGTTCCCTTCAGAAAATTTTTCAAGGGCTTTGCACAATCGATCCACACCACTAAGGGAACCTACCGTATTATCTCTGATACAAGCACAGTCTCCAATAATAGAACACCTTGGGGCGGCATTCAAAAAATAAAGTGCTCAGTCTCCATTATAAGCACACTGTGTAAATTCATTATCTGTACCGGTGAAAAAACCCTGGAATGTGTGTGTCTGACATGAATTTGGCCATGGCAACATGCCTCTGAAATGAGGTTGAAATAATAATGGAACAGTCTCCAATAAAGGAACGTCTCCATTAATAGCACGGGGCGGAGGTACTGTAAATATACAAAATTTCGGCACTTCACGATTTTTGACATTTCGGCGGCGATTTATTTTCGGCGTGGGGTAGAGGGCATTGCGACAGATGCTGTGAAAAATTTCATCGGAGTTTTAATTTAGACGTTTTGGGTCGGTGCCGAATATAGCCGAAATTAAATAGCTGCCGAAAATTTGTATATTTACAGTACATTGAAAAAATAAAGGACCGTGCTTATATTAGAGATAATACGGTACCTGCAAATTTTTGAGCGATATCGGAGAGATCCACTTGCACACACAGGGGCGTCAGATGGAGTTTAACATTGGTGCGGCCAAAGTGCGAGAGGGGGTCCCCCCGGGAAATTTTTGAAAATTGGGCCTAAAAAGCCATATTTTAACGCTACAGAATATGCATGCTGATGATACACTGCATTGTCGATGTAAAACATGGTACCTGTACCAGAGTCGACAAGCCACCAACAAGGTTGAAATGTAAAAAAATAAATAAAAAAATCGAAAATTATTGGTGCGGCTTTGGCCGCACCTGCCGCACCGGTTCCAACGCCCCTGACACACACACTTTGGTATTCTCAGACATGCTCTCTTTAACTATCTAGTAAGTACTACGCTCGGCCTTCGCGGCATTCAGTTATTCTCAGCATACTGGGTGCATGTTTCCGTAAAGCACTCCGTTACGAAGACAAACAAATTTGGGTCGATCAAATAATTGATTAATTTTGTTGAACGGCGCATTACCGATAAGCACGGAAAATGTGTTGGGTTTGAAAATAATAATCAATCCCTCCTTTACTACAAACTTATCAATCAAATCACCTAAAACTATCTACATGGACAAAAACCAACACCATGTTACTTGAAACTCACCGAAGACAACTCTTTGGCGAGACGTGCCACCTCCTTCACTTGCGTGTGCATCTCTGCAGCCGTCGGGCGATCAATGGCGCGGTTAGCGAGACAACGCTGAATTGACGCTTTGAGTGGATGTCCATTCCGCACTTGTTGTAAGGCCGAACGACGACGTTCCACTTCAGCAATCTCTTGTTCCTCGCTCGTTCCATCAGGGCGCTGAACCAGCCGTGAGCGAGGTGCGCCGAGCAGATCTCGTGAGGGATTAGCGCCGACTAAAACGCTCAGGGACAGCACACCAAAGGAAAATATGTCGAGAGACCGATCATATACGGCAGGCTCTTTCAAGGCTTCCGGCGGCATGTACAGGATAGTGCCGGGGCAAGTGGTCAGGTTTTCCAGCAAAAGAGCAAAACTCCTTTGCATCGCGCGTGCCACGCCAAGATCACAGACCTTGGCGGTTTGGCCTTTGATGAGAATGTTTTTCAAGGTCAAGTCGCGATGAATAATAGGAGGGTTTCTGCTGTGTAAATAGCGGACACCGGCTATTGCGTCGGACAGGAAACCCAACAGGGTGGCATCGTCAAGCCGGCCATCGCCAACACTACAATCCTGCAGAGTCGAATCCAGGAGCTCCATTGCCAGAGCTGGCAAGCCGCGATCAGCGGTTACACCCACACCCAATATTTGGCAGAGATTCGGGTGGTGCAAACCGGAGAGGGTGGAAATTTCTTCACCAAACCGCTTTAGTTTCTCGCGTCTACCCTGGACACCTGGCTCAACGAGGAGATGATGTAAGACCTTGGCAGCTACGGGTATTCCTTGCCAATCTACTCGAAACACAGCGGCATCACCACCTTCACCAGCCTGACGGTGCTCACTGACGGCGAAAACACCGAGATAGGCTATTTGACCTCTAGCCAATCCCAGGTCTCGAAGAAGCGAGTCTTCCGACGATCGCTCCATAGCTGATCCAACTAACCAGAACTACGTCTACGCTAACCTCACTGTAGACACTCTACCATCCACAGTGCAGTGGGGTTTTGTTGAAACTGACTCAAGTTTTTTTCGCCTTGGTATGATATTCAGTTGGCTTCTCATCAACAACAATGACTGGCCACTACTGGCCCACTACCGCACTAGCGTAGGCAGCCAAACCAGGCGACACGTCGCAGATAGGCAGCTGAAGCATCGGACAAGGACGGTGCTAGCGCTGCTGCCTCGGACCACACATGTACTCCGTCCTCCAGACTACAATCGTAACGACGTGTTGACAGATATGACCTCTGATATTCATTGGTAAAAACGAGGGGATCTGGTGAAGCCCACCAAGTATGCATGGCGTGTTGTGAGCTTCTTTCTGGCGCCAATAGGTCTAGTCCGGCAGACAACTTTCCTATAGAGCACAGGCAACATGTCAAGTGAATTATCACGTGTCAATAACGCGGGCATGGAAGGAATGCGGACGCCCAATGCATGGTATTCGACGTCCTGCGATGCCGATTATTGTTGTCGCTAATCCGCGTGGATGTGCTGGACATCAGATTCAGCATACCTCCCAACCTTTGCAAACCTGAGACAGGGAGAATGACATACATTGTACCTATCTATGAAGATGTATCCAATATAGCCGTAAAGCATGCGACAAATGCACTTTTGGGTGCATATCACCGCCATTCGAAACGCAGCTTCGGCAGCCGATCGAGCAATGCTAGTTGTTGGTCTTTGGGAGAGATGTCGAACTCCTACCACGATACTGGGACGGTCCCGGCCAAATCAGGATGGTTGGTATGCATCAGCGATTGCCAATCTTTGCATTACCCAACAAGGCACTGATTCCTCGGATAACGTTTGTGCTTGTGCTCCCCAGCCGTCGTCCGCACCATTGGCAGATGTCACCTCCGTAAAGCATTGGTAGAAATTGGTGATCCCGTGATCTGGTGATAGCTCAGCAACCACACGCAGAGTCGACAGTCACTGCTACTGCAAAAGGTCGGGTCCTCTCTTTCTGCGAGCTTTTTCCTCGCTCGTTTCGGCGCGAGAGTCAACACTCACACACATACACCTACACATCAACATGCACACACATACACCTACACATCAACATGCACACACATACAAGTAGTACAATGTCATGCAGACCGCTCGTGCAGCAATGACACCACCAAGTCCTTTCCTGACGTCACTCGGAGTTTCATCAGACAGCATGACATGACCTAGACTGGTATTCACGGAGTGTCTTGAGAGAAGAGGGCAGAGGTGACTGAGGCACTTATTTCAGTAGCTCTTCATAATTATTATTATTATGCTGTCTGATGAGTAACTCTGAGAAATGGCAGAAAATGACTTGGTTGTGTCATTGCTGTCTGAGTACTAGTATTAGCGCCTCTGTTCATTGGACACGGCGCACTGTCTGTACACAGCGCGCTGAGTCTGTACACAGCTGTACACAGCGCACTGAGTCTGCACACAGCCCGAGAATCTCAGACAACTGTCCACATGTACAAGAATAAAGTAAAAGTAAGTAAATTATCGTGTCCGTTCCCGAAGGGAACTCACGACGGCCGCTAACACCCGGTAAACCCTAGCGGCAGATGCAGCGCCTAACGGTGGGGGTGAGTGGATACGTCTCACAACCACTGGCACAAGTGCCGAGAACGACCCCATTAGCTGCATCCATATACCCCTTGTGCCTGGCCACAAGTTCCCAGTTGACTGTTGGTAGCAGCACGGCTGGAAAAACCGCTCCCAGGCAGGACTTGAACCAGGTACCTCTCTTATCTCAATAATGGTCTTTGACCAACCCACTGTGCCTGTCTGGTCAAGAATACAGGTGTCTAAAATCCGCAGGCTGCGTATAGTGCTCTATGACCAGTGGACAGAGCCAGTAAGACAAACAGCAATAGCGCAACCAGGTCCTTCCTTGCCATTACTCGGAGTTCTGTGTCTGAAAATACTAATCAGATGGGGGAGATGCCCAATCATGTAATCAGACACACCCCCCCCCCCACACACACACACACACACGCACCCACTCACACACCACACTCACGCGCACACACACACACACACACACACCATTGGACCATTTGACGCCCATCTCCAAGGGCGGTGATAGCGATGCTACAGCAGAAGCCAAAGCAACTTGTGCGGGGATTGCACCCGGTTCCATAACTTGCAAAGCTGGAGACTTGACCGCCACTATTCAGCCTGGTCTACACTACACAGCTATGAAGTGGCTTTTCTTGGCCAGGGAATCCCTACTTGTTTGGTATTATTTTCTTTTTTTCCCCGCATACACATTACACCACATACTCCGGCATGCACTGGCTGTTGGTAACCACCCAGGAAAATGAATGAAAAGTCAGGAGGAGTTTGAGAAAGAGAAGAAAGACGTGTGGGATCATAATCGTCGAGGATCGAACCCGCAGCCGCTCGATTGGAAATCACTGCACACACACATACAAACACACAAACACACACACACCTTTTTTGGTGCACTGAAGTGTCGCTGAAGCCGAGACCTCAGGTCGGCGGAGATGCACCAGTTTCACCACCACAGTTGCGTCTGCAACCACCTCTACCATGCAGTATTCTGTTCTCGAGGTTCGTGGTTTCTCGTAAAACACACACACGCACACACACACACACGCGCGCGCGTGCGCACACACACAAAACAAAACAATACAATACAACATGCCCATCCGGAGATGATAGCAGGTCCCGAAATCACGTAAAGTCACGATCAGAATCGGGCGTGGCGAGTCAAGTCCCGGCTAGGGCGATAGCGCTTTCCACAAGTGCAAAAGAAGTCTACGGTGACGGGCTCGGTCGGAGGAATGGTGCTGCATTCTGATCTCCACTCTCTGCAATCCTGGGCGAGGGCGAACCAGTCCACTATCTGGCGATCCTTCGTGTCGGACACAATATTGTCCCGCCACCGCTTCTGGGGCCCATGACGTGGCCAGGT